GGCTTTTGGGTCTTAGGGGTTTGGGGTTTAAGGGTGGAGGGCTTTAGGGGTTTGGGAGGTTTAGGGGTTTGGGGTTCAGGGACTTGGGGGTTTAGGATTGTAGGGTTGAGGGTTTAGGGGTTTAGGGTTTCGGCTTTCAAAGATACCTCTGGGTTGGAGCTTCTGAGCTGTATAGCCGCGTTAAGGTTGTAGGAGTTTCGCTGAACATCACGCATGTAGCAGGGTTTTTTGCGGAGTTTGTTTCGGTTTGCAGCGCCTATAAGGGCTCAGCGGCGTTTAAACGCATGTATAAAGGGTGTAAGAGGGTGTTCAGGCACCACAGGGCTTGTGTGGGCAATTAGGGTCGAAAGGCCCGATCGGGCTAACGGGATCTAGGGTCTGAGCCTCAAACAAGAGGCCGTGAAACATTTCAGAGTCCTCAGCGTAACACAGGCTTTGAGTAGGGTCCGCAATGGCTTGTAGGGTTGGCGGCTTCCGTAGCCTTGCAGCCTGCGGTTTAAATAGGTATTGAAGTTGCGGGGATCTCACACCAGGGCCCAAGGCATTGACAAATCCACATAAGCCCTGTGCGGTAAGGCTTGTTCCTGTTCGAATTCTGCTGGAATGCCGATTACTGCCTTTATTAATTGAGACAGGAGGTTCTACGTCAATGAGTCAATGATGCTTACAATACCAGGTCAATACTATAGTGCCAACAACGATGATAACAGCTGTGCCAATGCTACAGATGATAGCAAGGACGACAATTAGAGTGACAAGGGTGACCACATGGAGGTGCACACAAAATTCCGTGACTCGCCAAAAACTCGGAACCTGAAGAACTGCAAAAGCCTGCGTATACCTGCAACGAAAGTAGAGGGGATCTGAGTGTCTGGTTTCAGGTATACTGGTTAATCCGCAAGCCAGCCCTGATAAACCCACACCCCGCCTTGTACGCGAAGCTCGGTAGGCCGTTCCCCCCCCTCCCGCGCCCCCCACCCCCAAGGATTTTCCGCAATCGGATGATCTTCATTCGCTCCTTGGTGGCCTTTAGAGGGTTTATAGTAAACCCCAAAAAAGTTGGAAAACGGACTAAGGACAACTAGGGCTGGGATGCTCCATACATCACTCGTAAGGATTGAGGCTTTCCTACAGGTGTGGAGCCGCAGAGCTGAGGATAGGTGTAGGGATTGGGTGTAGGGTTTAGGGGTCTAGGGTCTATAGGGGTTTGGGGGTTTAGCGTGTCGGGTTTAGGGGTCTGGGGTCTAGGGGGGTTTAGGGTTTAGCGTGTAGGTTTAGGGGTCTGGGGTGTAGCGGTTTAGGATTTAGGTTTAGGGTTTAGCGTGTGGAATTCAGGCATCAGTAGTCGGCAATCGTCAGTTCTAAGCATCCATAGTCTTACACCCAACCTCTAGGACATTTTCATAAGGGTAGTTACCCTTATAGAAGCCTTATAGCAGCCCTATATACCCTAAACTTCCCACCTGTAGTTTCCTTTAACAACCCCTGTAAGCCTTAGCCCCGAAGCCGAAGGCTTTTCTCACGGGGTTTAGGGTTTAGGGTTCCTAAACCCTACACCCTAAACCCTAACGGGGTTTAGTAGCAGGCTTTAGGGTTTAGGGCTTGCATGTTTCGATGTAGGGCTTTCAGTGGGCTTCATTTTGGGGTTTAGGGCGTAGGGGTTTGGGGCTATTTCGCTTCAACTGCATGGCCGAGGCATGTGCGACGCCATTATTCGAGAAGCGCCTTTGCACGTCTTCTCAGCCGGGACACCAAGACACATTGAGCTGTTTGGGGTTTAGTATTTAGAGGTCTAGGTTTTAGGCTTTGGAATTTAGGGGTCCAGGCTGTCGGGCTTAGCATGTAGGGGCTTAGGGTTTCGGGTTTAGGCTTGCTTGGGAACATTGTCTGGACTGCGTCAGGTTCAGGTATCAACGCTCGAGGTTGGGGATTATCTGCCTGTTCATGCTAGGACTAGTGGCTTTAGGGTTTAGGATTTAGGGGCTAGGACGAGTGGGTCTTGGTGGAGGGTTTCGGCGTGTGTGATATCCCTGTTTGTTGCTTGCTCGCCTTGCAGATCTGGATTCTCCCTGCAGGGATTGTTTTCACGGGTTCAGGGTCTAAGCCCACAACATAGGTCTATTGGTGTCTGACTAGGTAGGAAAAGCATAATTGCTTTCTGTATAATGGCCTTATCTTCCCTTTACAGCCTCTGTGCCTCTGTGTGTATATATATATGACATGTATAATTCCAACATATCCCCAAGTCCTATTCTAGTTCTCAAGGCACCTACATGTACCCTAATAGAAACTCCATCGACAAACAAAAAAAGAAACACACAACCATAGGCCCAGAAAGCCCTATAACCACTGGCACCTTTCAAGGTAGGCGTCGGGGGATGTTTTGGGGTTTTGGGCTTATTGGTCTCAAGAGGATCTTATTTGCGAGGAGTTTTCCAAGGCTTGAAAGGGACAACCCATTATTTGAGGCGCCTGGTTTACGCCCTTCAGTCGTCTTCCCCCGAACATCAGGAAGCTGCACAAGGCATCTACAGTAGGGCTCTTTGGGGCTTTACGGGTTTTGGGTTTTTTTGGCTTTTTTGGGCTTTGGGGCTCCTCATTGTCAGAATTGGTGAGTGTAGATTGTGATATTGTTATATGTTGGGCTTTAGTATGGAGAGACCTGTCATCAACACCCTACAAGCGCATCGAATTGGGCCCCTGCAAGCCGCGAGATGCCTAAAGGAATTGAGCTCCACATCTAAAGTCCCGAATGCGCAACTCCCAAATTTCAGGCCCTAAAGCACAAATCTTAAATCCCAAACCCTAGTACCCTAATCCACCCCCCCCCTTCCCCGACGACCCACATCCCA